TTTGCAGGCCACCTCCTAATCCGAAAGACTGTGTAAAGAGGCCACCGGTTGTAACGATTATGGGCCATGTTGATCATGGCAAAACGACACTGCTGGATGCTATACGAAATAGTCACATTGTTGATAGCGAGTTTGGTGGAATTACTCAACATATCGGAGCTTTTTCAGGTGAGGTTTTCCATAATTACATGGTTTTTTTTTACATTTTGTGTAACGCTTAGCAAGTGTTCGCTAAGAAGCGCGATTTTTGCCGTATAGATACCAAATGCTGGTTTTCTTCTCTACGAACCTTACATTCTAGAGTGTAGAAGGTCGTTGCGTAAACATTGGAGGTCAGACCCCTGAAAATGTCACTATTGGCTATTTCCTGAATATTTCAATCAGTTTTTCATCGGAAGCTATCAAACTTGCAGAGAAAAAGCGCGCCTCGTGACTGTTTCCACATTCATCCCTTTGGCCGTGTCATCTTCATTTTCATTTCAGTTGATCTCAAAGGCGTAGGCCGTCGCGTAACGTTTCTCGATACTCCTGGTCATGCAGCTTTTGCTGCGATGAGAGCTCGAGGGGCGAAAGGCGCGGACATTGTAGTACTGGTAGTTGCAGCTGATGATGGTGTCAAGGAACAGACGGTGCAAAGCATCAAGTAGGTCATTTGCGGATTTGTGACTAGAATTTTTTATTTCTGATTCAAGATTCGCTCAGTCAGCCGGTGTTCCTATTGTCGTCGCAATCAACAAATGTGACAAGCCGAATGCTGATCCGGTAAGTTTAGTTCTTCTTTTGTTTTATTCATTTTTGCTATACAAAGTATGTGTATGCTTTCATGACGTGATCAAACTTGTCGTTAAATGGTTAACTGAACGTATTTATTGCGAATCATTGCTAATTGCCGCCATCAGATGTTACTCTTTGGTACAAAATATCAGACGTTGAATACCCGTCTATCTTCGCATTCGCACAAAATTTTGAAGTGCTAAACGTGGCCGTTTGCATGAGATTCCCATCCGTTTTCTTATGTAACATTGCGTTTTTTTTGTCATAAGGAAGGGTACTATTTTTTGTTTAGCAAACGCTTTAAAATTTTACTCCATAACCGCATCATGTTTGATTGACAGCGAACAGGAGAGAATCTCAGTTTTTGCTCAAATCAATCATTTTTT